AGAGCTAGTTCCAGGACAGGCTCCAAAACCACAGAGAAACCCTGTCTCGAAAAACCAAAAAAAAAAAGAAAAAAAAAAAGAAACATCTCCAGTATAAAAACCTCCCAGTCAGCCAGGCAGTGTGGCACACACCTTTAATCCCAGCACTCAGGAGGCAGAGGCAGGCAGATCTCTGTGAGTTCGAGGCCAGCCTGGTCTAAAAGAGCTAGTTCCAGGACAGGCTCTAAAGCTACAGAGAAACCCTGTCTAGAAAAATCAAAATAAATAAATAAGTAAATATTAAAAGAAAAAACTCCCAGTCTTACAGAAGGAAACGGAAGCTTGAAGATAAGCCGTTATACCACTCTCTCATGTTCTTGTCCTTGTCAGCACGTGTTTGTAACTGTAACCCACTAATGGGTACATTTGTAGCTTTACCATAAAGGACTTTGACTTACACAATCACCCTGAGCTCAGGAGTTCTAAACCAGCCTGGGTTACATAGCATGGCTCTCAAAATGGAAGTGGGAGAGGCAAGGAAGGAGGGAGAGAAAGAAAAAGAAAGAAAGAGAGGGGAAAAGAAGGGAAAATGACTCCTTCAAAGGCTGAAATAAATATCAAAGGAAAATAAGCAAAACCAGGTACGGTAATTCAAAACCTTTAATCCCAGTGTTCTGAGGGGTGATATTGAAACATTGAGGACAGCCAGGGCTACCTAGCAGGTACTGTGTCATCCAGAGCTGCATAGCAAGACCCCATCTCAAAAGCGGTGGTGGACAGGTAAGGCAGAGCTAGCTTTAAAGGTTTAGTATCCTGTATTTGAAATGCTTGGTATTGTTAACATCTAGGAGTCTTTTTTCTTTTTTCTTTTTTTTTTTTGGATTTTTCGAGACAGGGTTTCTCCGTAGCTTTTTGGTTCCTGTCCTGGAACTAGCTCTTGTAGACTAGGCTGGCCTTGAACTCACAGAGATCCACCTGCCTCTGCCTCCCTAGTGCTGGGATTAAAGGCGTGCGTGGTGGTAGGAGTCTTTTTTTTTTTAATGTGTAAGTTTTCTGCCATGTATACTTGCAGCCAGAAGAGGGGATCAGATCCCATTACAGATGGCTGTGAGCTACCATGTAGTTGCAGGGAATTGAACTCAGGACCTGTAGAAAAGCAGCCAGTGCTCTTAACCCCTGGACCATATCACCAGATCCCGGTTTTGGCATTTAAAGACAGGGTTTCTCAGTGTATTCCTGGCTGTCCTGGAACTTGCTCTGTAAACCAGGCTGGCTTCAAATTCATCCTCCTACCTCTGTCTCCCAAATGCTGGGAATAAAGGCGTGTCCTGGCTAGGCATCAAGGGATCTTAATCAGTTTCATTTCCATTGCCAGTTAAGGAATTAACACTCTGAAAACTCAGAAAAATCTCAAATGCAACAGGTAGATGTAATGATTGTTCTGTCTCTTTAAGAGACAATCCATGCCCACTCCCTCCCCCATCTGCTGAGGCAGGCTGATCTTCAGCTTCTGGCCTGAGCTCTCTCTTTTTTTCTGTCTTCCCCTCTCTCCACTTCTTCCCTTCCCCCGCTTCAGTCTCTCTCTTCTCTCTCTGCTCTCCTCCCCTTCTCTCTTGCCCCTCCATAACCCCCTGAATAAATATCCAACCTCACTCTGCATGGCGTACCTATCCATGTCTCTGTCTCTTGCCCACCTGCCATGTGTCTCCCTGCCTGGGACCAGCCACCGCTCAGGGACTGGCAGCCATCTCTGCCTGGGACTGGCTGCTCTCAGGGCCTGCTGCCTGCCACCACATGGCCCCACTACCACTGCTTGGGGACCTACAGCATTTCTGCTACCTGCCGCCACCGGGGATCCTGCAGCATTTTTAATTTTTCCATTACAGTAGGAGCAGAGACATCTCAACCATAATAAATAGGAGCAGACAGAATCAGCAGTTGAAGATGGGCTTTTATTAGAGTGAAGAAACAGATGAGTCAGACACACAGAGGGAAAAGGCCCTATGCAAAGGAGAATGGGGGGACTCAGAAAGACAAAAACCCAGTGTCTTCTCCAGGTCTGGGTTTTTGTTTTGTTTTTTAATTCTCTGAAGAATTTTCCTCCCCTAATTTAGGGTTGGTCAGTTTGAAGACAGGATGGATGATTGACCCACAGCTGCTTTGTAATGTGTCCTTATCTAGCCTTGAATTGATGGAACCAGTCCATCAGCAGGAGGCCTATGAGCAGGAAAAAAGGCCAGAAGGCCTTTGGGTTTTTGTTTTTTATGTGCATTGGCCTTTCCCCTGCATGTATGTCTGTGGGAGGGTGTCAGATCTTGAGGTTACAGACAGCTGTGAGCTACCATGTTGGTGCTAAGAATGAAACCCAAGTCCTCTGGATGAGCAGCCAGTGCCCCTAACCACTGAGCCATCTCTCCAGGCCCAAGGCCCTTGTTTTAAACTGCCAAGCTTTTGGTTTTTCAAGAAGGGGTTTCTCCGTGTAACAGCCCTGGCTGTCCTTGAACGCACTTTGTAGACCTCAGGCTGGTCTTGAACTCAAGGCGTTAGCCACCATTGCCCAGTTACGGCCAGGCCATGTTATTTTTGTGTATGCGGGAGATGGACCCAAAGTCTAAGCACGCTAGGCAAGTACTCCACCACCAGCACCATTACCAGCCCTTAGTACACCTGGTTTTGGACTAAAGTTTCTTCATGACACCAGGTGTGGAATTTTCCTAGATTTTGGAGCACTTCAGAGCTCAGTTTTCAGGTCTGGCCCACTCAAAGTATACTTAACTCATGAGAATGTATGTTGGACGCTTTTAAAAAGAGGACTCAGAAGCTGGGCGATGGTGGCACAAGCTTTTAATTCCAGCACTCAGAAGGCAAAAGCAGGCAGATCTCTGTGAGTTCAAAGCCGGCCTGGACTACAGAGCGAGTTCCAGGACAAGCTCCAAAACTACACAGAGAAACCCTGTCTCTAAAATAAAAAATAAAAATAAAAAACAGGAAAAAGCCCGGCGGTGGTGGCGCACGCCTTTAATCCCAGCACTCGGGAGGCAGAGGCAGGCGGATCTCTGTGAGTTCGAGACCAGCCTGGTCTACAAGAGCTAGTTCCAGGATAGGCTCCAAAACCACAGCGAAACCCTGTCTCGAAAAACAAAACAAACAAACAAACAAAAAAAAAACAGGAAAAAGCAGGAATCAGAGACAGACGTTGGTAGCACATGCCCTTAATTCCCCTTAATCCCCCTGCACTCAGGAGAGAGAGGCAGGTCTACACAGCTAGTTCCAGGGCAGTCGGAGGTACACAGAGAAATCTGTCTCGCGATGTGTGTGTGTGTGTGTGGGGGGGGGGGTGGACCAGAGCTGCCGCCTTATATCCCAGCATCCTGGAGGCAGAGTTCAATGCCAGGTCTACACACTAAGTTCCAAGACAGACAGAGCTACATAGGTTAACTCTCAAAAAAAAAAAAAAAAAAATTGCACCAGTACAACTTCCTAACGGTGTCCTGAGTCCTATTTCCATGAATGTTCTCACAAATAACATGCACTTTTCCTTCCCAGCACTCGGCTGTAGTATTAGCCACGTCTGTGACCATTTGTTTTCTCTAGACCCATCGCTCTCACTACTTCGGTTTGGTTGTTCTGGTTCGTTCTATACTTGATCATGTCTTGATCCGAAAACCAGTGTTAAAAACCATGCAGAGAAAAAAAAAAAACCATGCAGAGTGCTGCACAAAGAGGTTCGCTGGAGGCTACTCTTCGAATTATCCCAAAATTCTGAAGCCTGGATGCACGCGCGGGATAGATCCTCCTGCCCAAAACGCCCAGCCCGCAGCTGGCCCTGACTTCCGTACGCTGAGCCAAGATGGCGGGACCCGCGAATGAAAACCACATTCAAGATGTCGGCTTCCGGTTTGCCCCGCAGCGTCGCGCGTGGCCATCGGGGCCACGCCCACTTCCGGTCCCTTTGCCACGGCATGGCTGCGTTGGGGTCTTGGCTGTCCAGTGAGTGACTGTGGGGTTGGGGACCCGGGATCCCGGGGTCGGGCTGCCCTCTAACTCCCGGCTCTTGCAGTAGGTGTCCGGAGGTTGCACTGCAGCGCAGCGGCTCGGGCCGGCGGCCAGTGGCGACTTCAGTGAGTGCCGGGCGGGGGCGCGGCGGGACCTGGAAGCCAGCCGAGCCCTCACCTACTGTGTTTCCCCACCCAGACAGGGACTGGCTGCCAACCCTTCCGGCTATGGGCCCCTCACGGAGCTTCCTGACTGGTCTTTCGCCGGTGAGCCTTGATGTCAGTTTTTTTTTTTTTTTCCTTTTCCTCCAGGAGACCAACCCCGGTAGGGATTGGGGGCGTGTCTGGGAAAATATTGAACCTTTTACTTAGGCAAGAGTTTGAAGAAAGGAACTCTAATTTTGTCTGACTACAGAGCTGGGTGTGGCAGCTCACACCTGAAATCTTAGCTTTTGGGAGCTGAGGCAGAGGGATCACTGTGAGGTCAATGCAAGTATGTGCTTCTGAGTGTGTCCCAGATTATCCTGAACTACAGAGTAAGATCCCGTGTATAAATAAATAAAGAAAGAAATAGTTGGCTAAGGAAGGGGAGTAGGGGATCATGACTTATAGATATAATTCCAATTTAGGCTGGCCTGGGGCTGGAAGGGTGTGTGGCTTTTATCTTTTCAGAAGGGGGCATGTGTGGTAAATGCATTTTTAGAATTTGACTCCACATACACAAGGAATTATTTGGAAAGCTGCTGAAAGGAACGCCGAAGATCCCTACCAGACTGAAGATGGCAGACTCAATCCAGAAGGCTTTTCTCTTTTTTCAAAAAAAAAAAAAAAAAAAGTTATGAGCTGGAAAAGATGCCTCAGAGGCACTGACTGTTCTTCAAGAGGAACTGGGGTTCTATTCCTAACCCCCACATGGTGGCTCACAACTCTTTGTAACTCCAGTTCCAGGAAATCTGGTGTCAATCTCTCTCACTTCCACTTGCACCAGGCACCCACAGGGTGCAAGCAAAACACTCATTCACATAAAAATAAAACTTTTTTTTAAACATAAAATGAGGAAAGAGTAATGACACATGCCTGTAATCAGAAGGCAGAAGCAGAAGGATTGAGAACTAGGAAACAGCCTTGGCTGTCTAGTGAGACCTTACATCAAAAGTGAGCCAGATGGTGGTAGCGCACGCCTTTAATCCCAACACTCTGGAGGCAGAGGCAGCCGGGGTTTTGTGAGTTCGAGGCCAGCCTAGTCTACAAAGCAAGTTCCAGGACAGGCTCCAAAGCTACAGAGAAACCATGTCTCAAAAATTCAAAAAACAGTGAATTCGGCATTGCAGATGACCCTAATTCCATGCTAATCACATGACTAAATTAAATAATAGGAACGTGCCTTGGAACTCATTTTCATGACTGTTGTACCTCACCACTGAAGATGCTAGATAAATTTTACAAAACTAAGCTAGAGTAGTTGTGAACTGGTTTCCTCTTCAGTATTATTTTTGATGGGCAGTGCTGGGACTTGAACCTGGGCCTTACATGCTAGCCCCCACCCCCGCCCTGGCGGGTGTGAACTGAAAGAGGGGAGCTAGTATTTCCCTATCATAATAATTCCTGTCACATCATAGTATTTGGAGAAGATGGCCCGACCACATTTACCACTTGCCTTTTTCTCTCCTCTCTCTGTAGATGGCCGTCCTGCTCCCCCAATGAAAGGCCAACTTCGAAGAAAAGCTCAAAGGGAGAAGCTTGCAGTGAGTAGCTGGAACTCCAGCAAGGCCTGCGTTGTTTCTAATTGGAGGAGGGAAATTTAGATCATCATTTCTCCTTGTTTTCTTAAGATTGACTTTTATATGTATGTGTTTTGCCTCTATGAATGTGTGTTTACCACATGTGTGTCTGGTGCCTATAGAGGTCAGAGGACGGTGTCAGATCCCTCAGATCCCCTGAAACGGAAATTACAGATGGTTGGGAGCTGCCATGTGGGTGCTGGGAGTTGAATCTGGGTCCCATGTAAAAGCAGAAAGTATTCTTGACCACTGAGCCATCTCGGTTATTATAATTTGTTCTAGATTGTGTTGTGCCTGTGCTGCTGTTTGGCGGTATTTGGGAGCAAACCCAGGGCTTCCTGGGTGCTAGCCAAGTGTACCACCAGCAGCCTCGTCTCCAGTCCTGACAACCGATAACTTATTTATTTATTCATTCATTTAGGCATGATATATAGACCAGGCTGGCCGCAAATTCACAAGAGATGGGCCTGCCTTTGCCTCCCTAGTGCTAGGATCAAAGGATGGACCACCCTACCTGCCCAAGCCAAATGTTTTAATGGCACTGTGAGAAGGGATGGCTGGAGTAGGGGGCTTGTGGCAGAAACCAGTATCAGACCTTCCCTTCACATTGTTAGCTCCCTTCTGTCAAGCACATGCTGGTCTGATGCCAGTCAACAGCATCAGTATTCAGCTGAAATCCTTTGACTTCTGGAGAGAAAGAATATCTGCTCAACGGTCCGGTCCGCTTGAGCCCCAGGTGTTATTTATTCTTTTCCTGCCGTTTCAGAGACGAGTTGTACTGCTGACACAGGAAATGGATGCTGGATTACAGGCATGGAAGCTCAGGCAGCAGAAGTTGGAGGAAGAAAGGAAGCAGGAACATGGTCTTAAACCCAAGGGGATTTCACTGAGAAGTCCACTTCCACGTCAATAAAAAACAACTCCATTCACACTTTCCCAGACTCTCTGCCTTTCTTTTCTGTCACCAAATACTTTATCCCATGAGAATGATGTCATTTTTCCCGCCATTTGTATTGACAGTAAAAGACCTCAGGCACCAAGAGGAACTTTAAAATCACTGCCTGTGAGGCTTGGCCCAGTGCCCTTAGTCAGCGCTCCATTCCAGTTCAGCCAGATCTTGCTCTGGGGCTATTATTTTGCCCCTGCTGTAGAAACAAACCCAGAGCCCTGTGGAAATTAAGGACACCACCACCCTACCACTTAGCTTTGTTGCTCTGGGATTTTAATCTCTGCCATGCTTGCCATGGGGCCAACCCATCTAAAGAGCAGTGGCTGCTCTGTGAAGGAAGAAAAGGGGGCAGTACCAGTTTTCCTGGTTTTATCCAGGTCCTCGAGTCACAGCTTAGCCCATAAACAGCTCATTTGTGTGCAGTTGGCATTCAGTAAATGTTTTGATGAAAAGGGCTTCCCAGGGGCTGAAGAGATGGCTCATCAGTTAAGAGCAGTGACTGCTCTTCCAGAGGTCCCAGGTTCAGTTGCTAGCACCCACATGGCAGCTCACAACTGTCTGTAACTTCCTGACAGCCCTGGCAAAACACCAATGCACATAGAATAAAAATAAAGAGGAAATTTGCTGTAGATTTTTAAAAAAGAAAGACGGGCTTCCCATCGGAGGTCATTTTTTTCTTTTTGAGATAGGGTCTGCCTATAACTCCAGCTGGTCTGAAACTGGCCATGGACACCAAGCTGTGGGTTTAAATCACATGCCACCATACCTGGCAGAAGTCTCTTTCTTAACCATCAACTCGTGTCCAGATACACGGTCCAGGAGGCACCCACTCTGGAAAGCTGACCTAGGAAGAATTGAACTTGTATATTTAGTCTTCTGCTGAAGGAGTTCTGTTCTGACTGAATTCCAGAGGTTGGTTGAAGTGGGTTCTGTATTTCCTCACCCCTAACAATGCCCCTGTGGCACTAATACCCACTGTGCACCTCCTGGAAACTGCCAGTGACCTGGCAGCCCTTAGTTTCACTGATCATGAGCCCTCTCCCAGATTCTGAAGGCAAGGACTTTTGTTCCCCGCCAGTACTGGATGCTGGGCTTGCATCTTCCCACCATAACCGCGGTCGGTAGTTGTGGATTTCAGGAGCTTCCCACCTGGCCTGGTTTCTACCCTCTGCTCTGCTGCTTCCCTCTATTGCCTTCCCTCCCTTCCTCTCCCCACTACCTCCTTCCTCTCGCTGACCAAACGCAATTCTTGGAGCTTACATTTCGCTGATGGTCGAGTTTTCTGTCTCCCACTCTTTTCCTGCCTCTGTCCCACTGCTTGGTGTTTTTCCAGATCTAATTCTCAACCTCTTATCTATCTGCCTTTCTTACTGCCAGCTTCAGCCTGTCCTCCCCTCCCCTGCATACCTCTCCTTTTGTTTTCCCAGCCCACCAGCACGGAAGCTGTACTCTAAGGAACGGTCTCCAGTGTAAAGATGGAACAAAACTCCAGAATCCTAACTCCCATTTCTTCCTCTTCCAACAATTTTGTTTGTTTGTTTGGTTTGGTTTTTCGAGACAGGGTTTCTCTGTGGCTTTGGAGCCTGTCCTGGAACTAGCTCTGTAGACCAGGCTGGTCTCGAACTCACAGAGATCCGCCTGCTTCTGCCTCCCGAGTGCTGGGATTAAAGGCGTGCGCCACCACCGCCCGGCTCTTCCAACAATTTTAATCAGACTTCCATTTGGCTTTCCCCAACCTTGAACCCTTTTCCTACTAGCCCCTGCAGTTCACAATGGAACAGCTAGATTGCAAAAGCCATTAATAAAGCAGTGGGCCCCAAAATTTAAAGTAATTGTGATTGTTGTTTGGTAATGGCTTCTGTCACAGTGTAAGTTTGGGGCAGAAGGAGGCTATCCACAGGTCTCAGCACACACACCCCTTGTTAATAAATGCCCCTTCCTCGCGAGGCATTGAAAACGTCATGTCACCACCTTCCCTAACCATCAGACCTCCCAACACTTAACACTCTTGAAGTGAGACATGCTGAATACTACGGGAATCGGGCCACCCAAAAAATGCTTAGGAAGAGAAAGTCTTCCGCATCCGTCCCCTGGGACACCCAGTCTCCTAGTTAGTTGTCAGCTGTGGCCTCAACCCCTGCAGATGGCAGCCTGCACCACAGAAAGACAACCCCCCCCCCCCCCCCCGCTCTTGGCTGTAATTGGATTCAGGCTGAAACAACCACGTCCCCACCAGGAAAGGAGGGCATTGGGGCGGGGGCGGAGGAGAGGCTTTGGGAGAAGGGAGGGACCAAAGGAGTGAGCAGAGAAGGCTTCCAACTCAGTTCGCCGACTAAGCAGAAGAAAGATCAAAAAACGGAAAAGAGAAGAGCAAACGGGCACTTTCAGGAGCAATCCCCTCACCTCCAAGCCGGCTGCCCTCTAGGAATCCAAATTCCGTGCCTTCCGAAGACAAAGGCGCCCAAAGAGAGCGGCGGCGCGACCCCAGGGCGTGGGCCCCGCCGCGGAGCCCCCCGCACCGCCTGGCGCCCCGACGCCAGGGACCATGTCTCCCGCCCCTCGACCCTCCCGCAGCCTCCTGCTCCCCCTGCTCACGCTCGGCACCGCACTCGCCTCCCTCGGCTGGGCCCAAGGCAGCAACTTTAGCCCCGAAGTAAGTGAGCTCCTCCCGCCCTTCCCGGGGTTGCGTCCGCCGGGTAGGCGAGTCCGGGGGTCTCCAAGGGGACAGCCCCCGCTGAGAACCTCCCGCTGGCGGCGGGGGGTTACACTCTGCTGCTCCGGCCTTTCTTTTCCCTCCTTATCTGCAAACTTGCAAGTCGATCCAACTTTTTGCCTGCCTCCAGCCAAACTCCTCCGCCGCCGCCGCCTCTTTCCCATTCCTCCCTTCCCTGGAAGAACTTTGCAGCGGGGCCCGGACCTCGCTCTCCCGTGTTCTGTGCACTCTGGCCAGGCAGGAGCTTCACAAACACTGGACTCTGCTCCAACCCCGCGCCGTCCGGGCCGGTGTCATACGCGAGTTGTTCCCCCAGTTTGGCTGCGCTCAGGTGCCCGCGGCCCTACACGGGCGCATCTGTACCAAGTGGGGCGTCGGGGGGCGGCCGATCGCTACCCGCCTCCCAGGACCGCCCTCGGTGAGGGCCTCGGGCCCTGGCGTCGAGGATCGCGACGGGCAGAACTTCTGCGCACACAAAGCTCTTCTTGTGAGCCGCGGGGCTCAGCCTGGCCACCACCTCCCCGCGTCCTCGCCCTAACCGGCGCCGGGGGAGGGGGTGGGCTTTTTGTTGCTAATTGTTTTTCTGAGTTGATTGCTGAGAGAGTTGGGGGGTGGGGGTGGAGTTGCTCGGCGAGCGACTTGAGGGCGGGCCTGGGTCACCCTCAAGCGTCCCGACTTGCTTGGGCGCCCCCACCCTCACCCCCAACCCTTCCATGACCGTAGCCCACCCCGGTCTGAAGGAAGCAGCGTGGGAGTAGTCTGAGGAAGTTTTCCCTCCCTCTCTTATTTTGGGGTGAAGGTGGGAGATGGATTTAATCAGCTTCTTATTTTGGGCCATCCAACCCACTCATCCTGGTGAGGACCTGGGTGTGGTAGGGAAGGGCAGGGAAGGGCCCAAAAGGCAGGATATGGTCTGATTTGATTCCCTCTAGTCCCAGGCCCAGGCCGGATCACACCCTCTGAGGTGATGTCTCTGGGGCACACGGGGCACACATTGCCTGTGCCCCTGAAGAGACCTGGGGCTGAAGGGACAAGTGTGACCCTAGAAGTGGGGCCACACTGTGCATAGAGACTAGAAAGAGTAAAATCCTCTCTGAGATTGGAGACCAAACCCATTTGTCATAGAGGAGGTGACTTTCCCAGGCCTGAAGCTCCCATCTTGCCCCCAAAGAGAGTGCCTAACAAAAGGAACCCCTGGAAGACTGCCCACTGCCAACTTCTTTCTCTCCTCCCCAGCTTCCACTAGGTCCCGTAGGGGAGGGGCGGCAGCCTTGGCTCCACTTTAAGTGGGTCATGGTCGTCCCAGAGCCAGAACCACCATTTGCTTCTGGAACACAGTCGGGTGGGAAGCTGAGGGAGGGCGGGGCAGCCCCAGAAGAGGCCAGGATCCAAGGTTTGATGTGGAGCTGGAGAGCCCCCACCCTCTTGGCCTCCTACAGTGGGAGGTGTTCCTTGACTTTCTCATAGGGAATACCCTGCACTTACTGATCAAGACAATGCCAGCCAACTAGATTCTGCCACCCAAGATAGTTGTTCCTTCTCCAGGCCAAGCTGGCCTCGGGCAGCTAGGTCGGCCCTTCCACCAGGCCTCCATAGCTCCACACTAACTCCAGAACAGTGTGTCTAGGGCTTCACCCTTCCCCCACTCAGCCGCAGACACCAGAGTCCTCTCCTGTGGTTCCAGGCTCATAGTCTGTGGTTCTTGCTTCGCTCAGAGCCTGGCTCTGTGAGATGGAGAAAGAAACTTGCCCAGTCTGGGAAAGGAAGAAAATGATGGGGACGCTTTTCTTTTCTGGCTTTGTGATACTCTTCCGGGGAGTCCTTTTCCTAACAAAGCATCCACTTTTCTCCACAGGGTACAGGGCAGGGTTTATGAGTGTGCTTATTTAGACCTGCCTATCTCTTGAAAGGCCCAGAGGAGAGGGGTTTACCCAGAGCTCCTGACTGTGCTCTTTCTCCCACCGTTTCTCCATTCTCCTGTAGGAGCATTCCTTCTATTTGGCTAAAAAACCCTCCACTCCTCCTGACTTCCAGCTATGGGGGGAGGGAGCAGGCCACTCCCATCCTCCCGTAAGCCCTGTAGCAGCTGTTACCCTAGCAGGGGTCAGAGTCTACAGGTGAGACTAGGTGCAAAGGGAGTTTCCTGCATACTTGGCACAGGTCAGGGCAAGCCTTCAGATATGAGGGAACAGCTCTGGATTTACCCACCTTGCTAGGGCCCTCTGACATACAAGGGGTTAAAAACTCCTGAGCCCTTTGGAAGGGTTTTGGTTAACAGGTGATGCTAGGGAAGTTTGGCCAGGCTGATTGGCAGAGGGAAAGGCTGGGTTGTTTACAACTCAGGCCCTAACTCCATCAGCCTTGAGGGGAATCACTTCCTGGAACTGTGTTGCAATTCCTGCCCCTGTTGGGCTCAGGTCCTAAGTCAGCTGCTCCTGAATCACCCCCAGACCCCACACAAGAGCATTGCTCCACCACCCATGCCTAGCCCTGATGGGGAAGCATCATGTGGAGATAAATCCATCCTAATGACCACGGGTAGGAGATGCAGGACCCAAGGCACCTGTGCCCTTTGCCCTCCAAATGCCCATTCTAGGCAACTTGAAGCCCCCCTCTGAACTCCTTAAATAAGGTAAAACTGGAGTAGGCCCAGCTCTATCTGGATCATGGCTCCCTACAGAAGAATCTAAGCATCTTCATAGTCCATACACAGCATGGCTTCTTTGACTTTCCAAGGCTAGATCGCTAGGTCATAGAGTATTTATTTGGGGTCCTGACTGACTAGCTACCACCTCCAAAGAGCCCAGCTTCCCCGTCAGCATCCAGTCTCAACCCTGGCTCCTTTCCTGCTGAGGGCCCTAGAAGTGTGGTACCTCTGTTGCAGGAACCCCCTCACCCTGTTCGACTCCACCATTCTACCTATCGTGGACATAACTCACTTTCCAATGGGACATGCCATCTTTGCAAGGACTGAGAGGAGAAAAGTGCTGGAGAAAATGCCAGCTCTAAGAAGACATTCTGGAGCGTGGGCATGGCTTAGTAAAATGCTTGCATCAAGCTTAAGGGCCTGAATTTAAACCCTAGCACCCATGGCAAACACCAGATAAGATGGCACATACTTGTAATCTCAGCGCCGGGGAGGCAGAGGCAGGCAATTCCCTGAGGCTTGCTGGCCGGCTAGCCTGGCCTAATAAGTGAGCCACAGATTCCAATGAGAGACCCTGCCTAAAAAAAAAACAAGGTGGACAGCTCCCAAGGAATACACCAGAGCTTGACCTTTGATCTCCACATGCATGTAAGCACCAACCAAAAACATCCTAAGACTCTCTCAGTCCACTAATGCTCTCAATTACTAGAGTACTACAACCAGTCAGGACCAATGGCTCTCCAACCATACAGCTGTCTGCTCCCCATCACCCTTGGGGACAGGCACACTGGGATCTAGATCAATATAAGTCAGCCGTTAGCCTGAAAGTTCCTGGCAGAACCAGAATGGGAGCCCATCATATTTCTCGTTGAGCCAAGGACATCTGCCAGGCACTGTGGAGAGGCAGGTGGGCCCCCTGGACCATGTGGAAAGTTCTCTAAGCCATATCCCTCTCCCTACAGGCCTGGCTGCAGCAGTATGGCTACCTACCTCCAGGGGACCTGCGTACCCACACTCAACGCTCCCCCCAGTCACTCTCAGCTGCCATTGCCGCCATGCAAAGGTTTTATGGTTTGCAAGTGACAGGCAAGGCTGATTTGGACACCTTGAAGTAAGTTCCTAATGTCCACTGAGTACACCGAATACCAGAAGTGCTGCCACTTGAACCTGCCCCTGTGCCAGTGTCCCAACCCTCTCCCATTGGTATCATTACCTGGCCTTTCTCTACACCGGCATATACAAGGCCTCATCCAATGCTGACCTGGGGGCAGAGGCCAGGACCCTGGGTCAACTGTGGCACTCCACTCTCTCCCCTTGAAGACTCACTTGTTTATTTGTTTGCTTGTTTGGTTTGGTCTTTCGAGACAGAGTTTCTCTGTAGCTTTGGAGACTGTCCCGGAACTCACTCTGTAGACCAAACTGGCTTTGAACTTGCAGAGATCCTCCTGCCCCTGCCTCCTGAGTGCTGGGGTTAAAGGTGTGCACCACCACCACCCGGTGCTTTTTTTATTGTTTGTACTATGCTGACCCCAGTGTTTCCTCCCCAGGGCCATGAGGCGCCCTCGCTGTGGTGTGCCAGATAAGTTTGGTACTGAGATCAAGGCCAATGTTCGAAGGAAGCGCTATGCCATTCAGGGCCTCAAATGGCAGCACAGCGAGATCACTTTCTGGTGAGTCCGACTACGAGAGATTGTTCTCGCATCCACTACCCTTCCCTCTTAATTGGCTAAGGTAGAGGCAGGGGTGGCCTGTACTAGTCTCCTCCATTCTTAGGGAGTGGGAAGGAAAAGAGCTCTAACCTTGCAGAGAAGCGCAGCCATCTGGGGGATACACTAGTGCCGACACCCCCAAGACTTTGGTTCTTGGGGCTGAGACATCGAATATGCACTAGCAAGGTGGCCGGGCAGTTCAGCCAGGGCTGGGAGAGCACAGGGAACTTTGCCTCATTTATCCTAACGCTTCCCTTCTCTACCCTCACATCTGGGTGTCAGCATCCAGAATTACACCCCCAAGGTGGGCGAGTATGCCACATTCGAGGCCATTAGGAAGGCCTTCCGAGTATGGGAGAGTGCCACGCCACTGCGCTTCCGTGAAGTACCCTATGCCTACATCCGAGAGGGTCATGAGAAGCAGGCTGACATCATGATCTTGTTTGCTGAGGGTTTCCACGGTGACAGTACACCCTTTGATGGTGAAGGGGGCTTCCTGGCTCATGCCTATTTCCCAGGCCCCAATATCGGAGGGGACACCCACTTTGATTCTGCTGAGCCCTGGACTGTCCAAAATGAGGACCTAAATGGTGAGTAAGGGAACCCTGAGTTCCACCCTGGGTAGCGCATGCTGTCCCTTGTTTATAGAGGGGTCTCCTTCCAGAAGCTAAGCTAGCAGTATGTAGTAGCCAGCCCGGTCTGCATAGTAAATTCCAGCCAGCCAGGGCTACAGTAGTGAGACCCTGTCTCATAAATCAGTAAAATTAAAAAATAAGTCTAAGTGCTGGGGCAGGAGGATTGTGAGTTTGAGGCCTGCCTCAATAAACAACAAAGCCGGCAATGGTGGCACAGGCCTTTAATCTCACCCAACACTGGGGAAGCAGAAGCAGACAGATCTCTGAGTTCAAGGCCAAGCTGGTCTACAGAGTGAGTTTCAGAACAACCAAAACTACACAGAAAAACCCTTTCTCGAAAAACAAAAAACAGCTGGGCGGTGGTGGCGCATGCCTTTAATCCCAGCACTCGGGAGGCAGAGGCAGGCGGATCTCTGTGAGTTCGAGACCAGCCTGGTCTACAAGAGCTAGTTCCAGGACAGGCTCCAAAACCACAAAGAAACCCTGTCTCGAAAAACCAAAA